AACGGAGGTGCAGTAAGGTTTAATAAACTGCCTGAGTCTTCAAAGCCAAGAAAATGCAGAGCTACCATTAGAACCTATGTCTCTCAGGGGCACCTAGGTGGCTCAGTCGGTTAAGTGTCTGGACTTCGGCTCAGGTCACGATCTCACAGTTCATGAGTTAGAGCCCCATATCAGGCTCTCCGCTGTCATCGTGGAGCCCGCTTTGGATCCTCTGTCTTCTTCTTTCTGCCCCTCCTCCATCTCACACGTGCTCTCTCTCTCTCAAAAATAAATAAACATTAAAAAGAACCCGTGTCTCAGACTCCAGATGCCATGTATAACCAAGTACTAAAGTATACAGTATCTTCACATTGGCTGATTCTTTCATTCATTCAGTCAGTCAGCCAGTAAATTTACATTGAGTCACATCTCTACCATGTACAGGAGTTGGGAATGTAGCAGTGAACGAAATCTCTGCTTCCATGGAGTAAAAGCTCAGAACAAAAGTGAAAGAAGAAACATATCTGCCAGGAAACACATACACCCAGCCCATATTCACGGTCTCCCTGCCATCATTGCCAAGGGGTGGGCAGCTGTCCTTTAGTTACTTCTTTCTCTTTAGTTTGATTTACTGGAATAAACATATGTGTGTGTAAAAATGAGGGGAACATGCAAAGTGTTTTCCTCCCTCAAGCTATCTTTCTCCAGAAAGGGTGACTCAGTGCCCTAAATCCTCAGCTTTCAGTGCTTCATGCAAGATTTGAGGCACAGTGGCCCCGCAGGGTCTGCTTCTCTAAAGTTTCACTATTTCACTATTGGCCCAGATCTCATTCACAGAGATGGAAGTTAGCCACGTTTTCTTTTTCTTTCTTCTGCAGCTAGTTCAGCGCTGATCCCTGAGGGGTCCTGGCTGATGCTCCTGTTCACCCTCAGTCTCCATCAGCCCATCCCCATCTCCCAACTCCCCTGGAAGAAAAGCCGTTCCTTCAAGTCTTCCAACTAACGAGTTTTCCAACTTTTCTGGCAGAATTTTTGTTTGTTGAAGGAGCAAGTCCTGACTTGCAGTCTTCTCTCTGCAGGGCTGGGGTAAAACAAACTTGGAAAGATAATGAGAGTTGCTGAAATCACTGAACCACAGCTGACTCTCTGGGGTGTGAGGGAAATCCTTCTTATTCCGAGTGGTCTGTTTTGTCACCTTCCTATCTGTTAAGCTGGCTTCTCTTATTATGACTCAGCTTCCAGATTGTTCAGAGAACAATTCTTTCCTCATTCAAAAGAGCTCAGTACTGCTTTGCCTGGCTGCTATCAGGTGAGAGAGCAGAGTTTTCTCATCTGATGACACAAAAAGACTGCGTAAGAAGATAGTTATCTCTGACTTACCCTCGGAAGAAGAATTTATTTTAAAATAAACCCCTTAGAAAATTTATCCTTATCACTAGTACTGTGTACTGCCTCCACAGCAGAACAAATTAGCACAGATTTTTTTTATTGCCTGGTCCTAATTACTCATCACTTGATGGGTCTCCGTGGGTCTTATGTCCTTAATAAGATTCTGGGTGCCTCTGATGAGAGTTACGTTGCTTATATCCCCTGTGTTGGTGGTGCCCGGGGACCGTGTGAAGCACTCAGGCTGCTCAGTGTTTCCTGATTACCCTATAGTCACTGCTAAAACAGCATTAAGCCCCAAAGCAGGAAGAAAAAGGAGTATTTTTTTTTTTTTTTGCTGCATCTGAAAATATTTTTTTAAACAGTTTGCTCACGTCTCTCTAGAGCAGGATAGAAAACAGACGTAGGCAGTGGACATGTCTTATCTGGACGGAAAATGGGGCTTAAGATGATAAATATCATGGGATATGATAAAATCTGGAGGCCCTTTCTGGGCCATCATCAAATTTTTAAAAATCTAAATATATGTGATCTTACCAGAGGGATATATGTTCAGTTGAAAACCAAGTTATTTTGAGCTTAGCAACTGAGAACTCTTTTTTTTTTTTTTTTTTAAGGATTTTGTTATCATGCAATCTCTATACCCAATGTGGGGCCCAAACTCACAGCCCTGAGATCAAGAGTCACATGCTCTACTGACTGAGCCAGCCAGGGACCCCCAGAACTCTTAAATTATAATGATGCAGAGTAAATTTTTGCAGATCTGTGGATCTGCAAAGTTTCTCATAGACAGTGATTTGCAGAAGTGACAGGACAGAAGAGAAATTATTTTATGATGTCATATAGGAAATAGACTTTACATAGAGCCAGCATATATAGGTGTTCAATAAATGTTTTATGTATTAAATAAAAACTTATATTGCACTTAGAATGCTTTACAGCTATTTACTTATGTCTATTTCTCTTCTTGCTTTGAAACTGAATGTGCTAATTAGCAGTGAGGATAGGGTAAATTGAGAAATACCAGGTGGCCCTGGGTACCGATGACCCATCTCATCTGTTTGGGTTGATGTATGTGCAGACACGAGTGTCCTCTGTGTCAGGCATAACTATGGCCATGAACTCCTCTGTCTACAATAACCCTGCTGATTCCTTGCTCTGACTTGTGTGCCCTCTTGTCCTCCAGTGACTCTTAGGCTGAACTGGATGAAACCACTTATGTTTGTTGCTGTTTCAACTGTTTTTGTTTTTTTGTTTTTTTTTTTATTTATTTTTTTATTTTATTTTATTTTTTAACGTTTATTTATTTTTGAGACAGAGAGAGACAGAGCATGAACGGGGGAGGGTCAGAGAGAGGGAGACACAGAATCCGAAACAGGCTCCAGGCTCTGAGCCGTCAGCACAGAGCCCGACGCGGGGCTCGAACCCACGGACCGCGAGATCGTGACCTGAGCCGAAGTCGGCCGCTTTACCGACTGAGCCACCCAGGCGCCCCTCAACTGTTTTTGTTTTTTGTTTGGCTGTTTGTTTGAATTTTTTATGTTTATTTTTGAGAGAGAAAGACAGAACGTGAGTGGGGGAAGGGCAGAGAGAGGCAGCGAGACAGAGAATCCAAAGTAGGCTCCAGGCTTGGAGCTGTCAGCACAGAGCCCAATGCAGTGCTCGAACTCACAGACTGGACAGTGAAATCACTATCTGAGCCGAAGTCAGACACTAAACCAGCTGAGCCACCCAGGCATCCCTGTTTGTTTGTTTGTTTGTTTTAAAGTTTATTTTGGGGCGCCTGGGTGGCTCAGTCGGTTAAGCATCCGACTTCGGCTCAGGTCATCATCTCGCCGCTTGTGAGTTCCGGCCCCAGGTCGGCTCTGTGCTGACAGCTCAGAGCCTAGAGCCTGCTTTGGAGTCTGTGTCTTCCTCTCTCTCTGCCCGCCCTCCCTGCCCCCACTTGTGCTCTGTCTCTGTCTCTCTCAAAAATAAATTTTAAAAAATGTATAGTTTATTTTGAGGGGGGCATGGGTGGCTCAGTCAGTTGAGTGTCCGACTTGCCCTCAGGTCATAATCTCATGGTGAGTTTGAGCCCTGCATGGGGCTCTGTGCTGACAGCTTGGAGCCTGGAGCCTGCTTCGGATTCTGTGTCTCCCTCTCTCTGTGTCCCTCCCTTGTTTGCACTCTGTCTCTCTCTCTCTCTCAAAAATAAATAAACATTAAAAAATTAAAAAATATAAAGTTATTTTGAGAGAGACAAAGAGTTGGGGAGGGGCAGAGAGAAAGGGAGAGAGAGAATCCCAAGCAGCCATGGAGCCCAACACCACGCTCAAACTCACAAACCCCAAGATCAGGACCTGAGCTGAAACCAGAGTCAGGCACTTAACCAATTGAGCAATCCAGGCGCCCCACAACTGTTTTTGTTTCATTAAAGAAAGCGACAATTTCATGTGATTCAACCTAATGTTGTCCACGTTTTAAAGAAGAGTGGTTACCACCCCATGCTTGGAGTGGTTCAGTAATTGGCCCTAAAACCTCAAAGTAGTCAATAACAGTGTATTAGGATTCAAAATCCAGTTTACCTCCTTTTGAATTTCTTAGTATGCCCCTTTAAACCAAATAGTAAAAGCTTGGACCCAAGAACTAGCTGCTTGGGTTGGAATATCAGTTCATCCACTTACTGGCCTGTGACTTTGACATATTTTCCTCTCCCTGCATCAGTTTTCTCTTCCGTGTAATGGGGTTAACAATAATGCAGTTACTGTCCAATTTGTAGGATTGCCTTGAGGACTGAACGACGAATTCTAGGTACAATTTAGACAGTGCCTGGCCCTTGGTAAGCACTCTATAAATGTGAGCTATTATCTTCATGTTTCCTTTAATAATTTTTTTCCTGCTTGAGTAAACAAACACACAGACACCTTTGTGTGATAATATAATTCCACAGAACCAAGAAACTCAATAGCAAAGACCTTATTTTATGTCAAGTAGGTAGGAGTTGAACCATAAACCTCAGCGCTGCGAGTTTCTCTCGCAATTTCCCTACATCACTGCGGCTGAAACTGCAGTTTCGTGTGAACACTACTAGATTTTCCCCCCTTTTTCTTTATTTTTTTCTTAAGCGGGTGGGGGGGGGCTGTCATTTCCAGGGAGTACAGCTGCGATTCATCATTCTCGATACTGAGCCAAAAATCCTCCAGATAAGGGGGATGCAGCCTGAGGAGAGGAGGCCCGCGGCAATTCTTGTAAACACTCTCTAAATCAATCCTGGCGGGGGCGCGGGAAATTCCACCTAGTTAGAAGTCTAGGAAGCGTGTCAAGTTCACCCCAGGAGGGCTCCAGTGAGGAAATCCCCATCTCCCCAGTCCCAGAAACCGCTTCAGGTTAAAGTCACTGTCTAAAAAGGGCGCGGGCGTATTCGGGTTCATCTCAGGGCCGCTTTTATCTCAAGGAGCAATGCCTGTCTAAGTCCGACCGGGGCCGTCTAGAAGCCATATGCTGCCCCCCTTGAATCACCTGGGTCAGGGACCCGGGGTCCAGCCCGATGGCGTGGCCTAGGACCGCGGGCAAGGGGCGTGGCCTAGGCTGGCGCCCCCCGCGGCGCCTTTAAGGGCGGGCCGCGGCCCACGTGCTCTGTGACGTCAGAGCAGGAAGTGTTTGAGGAAGTCGCGCTGGGCTGGGAGGTTTAAGATTCCCGCATTTTAATGTCTTTGGGGAGGTGCCATAGCCCCCGGTTTTTTCACCTCAGCCCCGCCTCCCCCGCCCCGGGGAACGGCTCCCCTGCCCTGCGTCCCTGACGACAGGTGAGTCCCTTGGGCGGCCGCGGGGACCCCCTGGTGCCACCTGCAGACCCTGCGTCTCCTCTGCAACGGCGAGCTGGCACCTCTTCACTTGAGGCTGCTGAAGAAACTTCTGTCGAGTTTAAAAGTCGGGGTTTTCCGGTCGTAGAAGCCTTTCTCTTGTGCGGGTTGGACTTGGGAGGTCCAGAGCAGCCCTGGGCGGGGTGGGTACAGGTGGCCGCTTCGAGGTGGGTGGCTTTGGGAGAGAGCCGTGATTCATTTGGACTGAGTGAAGACAACACGTGACCATGACCATGGGGAAACTCAGCAACAGATTCTGTCCCAGCCACCCTAAACAGAATGCGCGCGGGGCAGGGCGCCCCTTGCTGGAATCCAGGCTGGGATGCCCTTTCGAGGTGGGGGTGGGGGTGGGGGGGCGGAGTATTCTCTCTTTCCAGTGACTTTCCTGCCTGTCTCCTTCTACAACAGCCCAGGTGGGGGGAGGGGGAAAGGTGAGAAAAACAAGTTTGCCACCAAAACCCCGAAATAAGCTAGACAACATGGTTTATTTATAAATGAAAACCAGCTCGTTTTTTTCTTCTCTCATTGAAGGGCAAGGGTATCTCTTACCTTCTCCCTCTCTTTGAGTTACATTTTTTCTTAACTTTAATCTTTTATCCCCCACACCAAATTGCTTACAGAGTTAGCACATCCTCAGTATGAGCTGGTCACCTTCGCTGCCAACCCAGACATGTGGGGCCTGGGAGATGAAAGAACGACTTGGGACAGGGGGATTTGGAAACGTCATTCGATGGCACAATCAGGTAGGGGCTCTGGAGCTGGGAAGAACCAAGGGCGACCAGGGGTAGGAGCTGGGGAAGACAGGCTCCCCTCAAATTGCCTCTCCCCAACACTGTGCTGGGTGGGAGAATGGGGCTCACCTTTGGTTATAGACTTGTTGAGTGAGAAAGGGGAACTGGGAAGGGGCTTCAGGGCTGCTGAGCTGACTCTAAGTGGTCTCCAAGCTTTACTGGCTATGCCCCCGAAATAAATAGTAAACATTTTAAGTTTTCACCTCCAATTATATATATTTTATTTTATTATTATTGTTTTTTAATATTTGTTTTTGAGAGAGAGAGACAGCACCAGTGGGGGAGGGGCAGAGAGAGAGAGAGACAGAATCCCAAGCAGGCTCTGGGCTCTGAGCTGTCAGCACAGAGCTGGAGGTGAGGTTGGAACCCCTGAAGTGGGATGCTTAACCGACTGAGCCACCCAGGCGCCCCTCAATTATATATATTTTAAATTAGGATCTGTGTTGCCATTATACTATCATGTACTGATATGTTGTATACTAATATATTACGTGTTCTAAAACATACAAAAATAGAAAAAAATAGAAAAATTTAAAGGATGAGCATAGTGAAATATACTTAAGTGTTTAAAAATTAATTAGAAAAAATTTTTTAATGTTTTTATTTTATTTTTCAGACACAGGGAGACAGCATGAGTGGGGGAGGGGCAGAGAGAGAGAGGGAGACACAGAATCTGAAACAGGCTCCGGGCTCTGAGCTGTCAGCACAGAGCCCTACGCGGGGCTCGAACCCACGAACCGTGAAATTATGACCTGAGCCGAAGTCAGACGCTTAACTGACTGAGCCACCCAGGCGCCCCTAAAAAATTAATTTAAAAACATTTTAAATATGTATCAATTATAACATCTTCCCAGTATTTGCAGTACTGCACAGCACACAGTATACAGATCCATATGAAAGAATTACCATTAGAGATAGTGGAGGAAAATCCATAATTCAAACAATTTTTATAATTTTGAATTATTTGGACTAATTTCTTAAAAAAAATTTTTTTAAATGTTTTATTTATTTTTGAGACAGAGAGAGACAGAGCATGAGCAGGGGAGGGGCAGAGAGGGAGACACAGAATCCGAAGCAGGCTCCAGGCTCTGAGCTGTCAGCACAGAGCCTGACGCGGGGCTCAAACTCATGAACTGTGAGATCATGACCTGAGCCGAAGTCGGACACCTAACCAACTGAGCCACCCAGGCGCCTGTGGACTAATTTCTTTTTAGATCTGATTCTATCCTTAATCGTTTTTACTCCTTATGTGTCTGAAATTAGTTTCTCATAGAAGTGTTAGTTCTTCCATATTCCTGTTTGCTTATGCTGATGTTACATGTACTAAATAAAGTTCACTACAGGAATTTCTTTAGCCATTTGTCCATTTTATGAGAGTCATTTTATTGAAATTGGATAATATAATCCATAATCTACCTAAGCGGGGCATTTGGAACCTGCAGCATGCCTCCATAGGCCCCTGTCTGTACCATGCGTGATATGTGCGTGACCTCCTGAAAAATTATCTGAGAGTGCTATAAAGTTAATATCAGAAAAACTTAACCAAAGCGTAACCAAAAGCTTAACCAAGTAGCTAAAATTAGCTTCCTGACCCCAAAATCAGACCTCTGAAGTCCTTGAAGGAGGGCACCTGCTTTTTGATCAGGGGCTGCGGAGCACTTTTTTGGATCAAAGGAATGGCAAATTGTGCACCACTTCCCAGGAGCCTGCTGTGGCAGCCAGTGCAGGGGGGTGGGAGTGGGGGTCCTCAAGGCTACTGGCCAGCCATGTCAGAGCATCATTCCAGACAGCCACCCTCCTTTATCAGTAGTTGGAAGACATTCTAAACCCTGCCTGAGTCCTATCAGCTCTGAGTGGATGAAACGGCCCATGGAGGAATGTGGGGGGTCGGAGCTGGAGGGCAGAGTACAGTTCTGTAGGTGGTAATTTCCACATTCAACTAGGAAACCAGAATTCCAGCAAACCCTCTGGCTGAGGAGGCCTTAGAAACACAACTGGCTTGGGGCGCCTGCATGGCTCAGTCTGGTTAAGCATCCAACTTCAGCTCAGGTCATGATCTCATGGTTCACAAGTTTGAGGCCTGCATTGGGCTCTGTGCTGACAGCTCAGAGCCTGGGGCCTGCTTTGGATTCTGTGTCTCCCTCTCCCTCGCTGCCCCTACCCCTCTTGTACTCTTTCTCTCTCAAAAATAAATTTAAAAAAAAGAATCACAACTGGCTCAAATATATTCTGGTCTGAGTATAGCTACGGATTTAACATTATAACAGAAGACTCAGACTGTTCTGTGGCCCACAGATACCTGGGCTGGGCTGCTCTAGACAGGCCAAGGCTTTTGGATTCTTTTGACTACAGCAAGTATCTCGCAGCAGCTGACCTAGAGACGTTTGGTTTCCCTCAAAAGGAGTTCTGTCCAGATGCGCCATGTGTCTGTCATCTCTAGCTCAAAATGGCCTCCATCTGCTCCATGAGTTTGGAAAGCTATTGTCAGTTGGAATTTGTTCCTGGCCTTATAGATATGGGCCTGAAAATGTGTAAATGTGTGTGTATGTGTATGGATTAGTCTTCTAAGATTACTACTTTCAAGTTTCTTCCCCTGTTCAAAAAATTAATTTGTTTTTCATTTTTACTTAATGTTTAATTGAAGTATAGTTGGCATACATTGTTATAATAGTTTTAGGTGTACGACATAGTGATTTGGTGATTCTGTACATTATACAGTGCTCACCATGATAAATATAGTTACCATCTGTCACCAATGTTATCACAGTATTATTGACTATGTATGTGTGTATATATGTGTGTATATATATATATATATATATATACAATGCTGTACTTTTCATCCCCAAGATTTATTGTACAACTGAAAGTTTGTTCACCTATTTCACCCATCCCCCAACTCCTTCCCCTCTGGCACCCACCAGTTTTCTGTGTTTATGAGTCTGTTTCTCCTTTTTTTGTTTATTCGTTTTGTTTAGATTCCACATGAAGTGAAATCGTACGACCTTTCTTTCTTCTAACTTATTTCACTTAGCATAATACCCTTTACATCCATCCACGTTGTCATGAATGGCAAGATTTCATTCTTTTTATGGCTGAGTAATATTCTTTATCCATTCCTCTATTGATGGAAACTTGGGTTGCTTCACTGTGTTGGCTGTTGTAAATAATTCTGCAGTAAACACAGGGGTGCATTTTTAGTGTTTTCAAATTAGTGTTTTGTTTCCTTTGATTAAATACATAGCAGTAAAATTACTGGATCATAATAGTATTTCTATTTTTAAGTTTTTGAGGAACCTTCCTACTGGTTTCCACTGTGGCTGTACCAATTTATATTCCTACCAACAGTGCATGAGGGTTCCCTTTTTCCACATCTTTGTCAGCACCTGTTATTTATTGTCTTTTTGATGTTAGCCATTCTGACAGGTGTAAGATGCTATCTCATTGTGGTTTTGATTTGCATTTCCCTGATGATGAGTGATGTTGAACATCTTTTCATGCTTCTGTGGGTCATCTGTATGTCTTCTTCGGAAAAATGTTTTCACCTGTCTTCTGCCCATTTTTTTTTTAATTTTTTTTTTTCAACGTTTATTTATTTTTGGGACAGAGAGAGACAGAGCATGAACGGGGGAGGGGCAGAGAGAGAGGGAGACACAGAGTCGGAAACAGGCTCCAGGCTCTGAGCCATCAGCCCAGAGCCCGACGCGGGGCTCGAACTCACGAACTGTGAGATCGTGACCTGGCTGAAGTCGGACGCTTAACCGACTGCGCCACCCAGGCTCCCCCCTTCTGCCCATTTTTTAACAGGATTATTAAGCTTTTTCATGTTGACTTGTGTAAGTTCTTTTTACATTTTGGATATTTGCCCCTTATTGAATATATCATTGGCAAATAGCTTCTCCCTAGGTTGCCTTTTCATTTTGTTGATGGTTGTTCTTTTTAAATTTATTTTTATTGTTCTTTGTTTTATAAAAGCCAAAGCCAAACTCCCCAGTCTGCTGTTTGAGGCCTCTTCACAGTCTGGCCTTACCCTGTCTTTGTAGCATCACCTCCTCTTATTGGCTCCCAACAAGATGGTTGGCTGAGCCCTCTCTGGAATAGGCCTCTGTCTCCTGGACAGCTGTACATAATTCTGGCCATTCCTTCAGGATCAGCTCCAGACCACCTCCTCCATAAACTTGCCGCAGATTTATTCATGCAGTGGAAATTAGTTCTTCCATTGAATGCCTTCAGCTCCACTTGGCATGCTTCATACACTGCCTTTTCGTCTGTGTGTAGGAATGTGTCTTGTCAAGGCTCTAAGTTCCTGGTCAGCCAGGGCCCTGTCTCGCTGTGGCTTTCTTTCAGTTCCCCCATAGCAATTTCTTTACATTATACATGTTTGGGGTGCATAAAATAATTCACTTTCTGTAAAGATCTTTTTGGAAAAGGGAAAGAGCCATTGATCAATAATTATAAATGTAAACTCCCGACTCATAGGTGTGACATGGGAGAGGGGCCCAGAGCAGTGATACCTTATACCAGGGGGTGGGATCCGTCAGGAGGTTGGGGTAGGCTTCTTCAAGGAAGTGGCGCTTAAGCAGAGACCTGAGTTATTGGTAGAAGTTAGCTGGGCTGAGAAAGTGGGAGGAGGGACCCAGGCAGAGGGAGCAGCCTATTCAGAACCCCTGTGAAGGGGGCAGATCTAGGCTAGCAGGTGGGACTGAAAGACCAGCATGACCAGAAGGGAGGACAAGGGGAGCCAGGTGCAAGGGAGGCTGGGGTGTAGATGGTGACAGTGAGATGTGCTTTTGTTTTTATCTGAAGGGCACCAGGAAGCTGGTTGGAGGGGGCTCCACTCTGACTGGAAGGGGCCCAGGCAGTGGTGTGCTGGGACATCAGCTCTCTGAGAAAAACGTCCCAGTTCATAGTGTTTACCAGTTTCCACAGGGTAACTACCCCTGCTGTGACTT